CGCCTACAAGGTGGCCGCAGTCATGCCACTCCCGGAGGCGGTGCTCGTCTGGGCGATGACCGGTGCCACCGCGTTCGGATTTTATGCCTTCTTCATCCACGACGAGGAATTGGCGGATTATTAGATCATACGGGGACCTAAGTTCTTCCTCCTCTAGAGAAAGGTAGCGTGTGTTACAATCAAATGTACTTATGTACGTGATGTAACAAATACGAGCCGTAAGAGTGTCTTATACACACACACACACACACACACACACACACACACACACACACACACACACACACACACACACACACACACACACACATCTCATCTCTTAACTATTATGTGCAGTTTTTGGTGTTAAATGGTTGGAAAGAATCTGTGATTTTCTATGCAAACTGAGAGTTCCTTCCTGAATTATGGCAAAAACAAATGTCCACCAATATAATTCGATATGTCCCATATTCCTGTTCATCCACCACCTCCGATATCTTTCATATATTTATCGATAATTTAAAGGGATAATTGTCTGTTGGGCATCTAAAGTGATGGTCCTTTACTGGCGGACACCTACTTTGAAGCATTTTGCCAGAAGACACTCTGGTTTGGTGAAATTATGCCACATGACACCGTGGACCGGTTGCAGCCGGTTGAGGAGAGCGAACAGCGGTGAAATGACATTCTTGCCTCTGCCACTTTCTTCTTCCTCTCTTCCTTTCTCTTTTTTCTGTTTCCTGTCCCCGCCACTGTCCCCGCCTCCCGCCTCCCGCACCCGCCGTCGCGCATCACGCCGTCACGGGCGGCCGTGCCTCCGACACCCACTGCTTGCCTCCTGCGTCTTCAATTCCTTCGTCCTTCCATGTCGATTGATTCTTCTTGATTGATAGATAGATAGGGGGGGAAAGAGAGCAGGGGAGGGAAAGGCGGCAAAGCAGAGCCCGTAGCGTCCTTGTCACAGATAGATACTAGATTGCTGGCAATGGCGTCGTCGAGGGGGGCTACCCAGGCCGGCGAGTACGACCAGGCTCATTCGGGCTTGGTAGCGCCGGCGGCGGCGGGCGCCCCGGGGTGGGCGTCGCGCAAGTTAACGCGGCTACTGCTAGGTTCGCTCTTGCTGCGGTGGAGGAGGATGTCCCTGATGAACACCCACCGCCGAGACCCGTGCGCCGCCACCGCCGTGGCCGACAAGGAGGATGACGACGTGGAGGAGGATGAGGACGAGCGGGACGAGGCGGCGACCGGCGGCGCGGCCTCCCCGTGCGTCCCCCCTGGTCGCGTCGACGGCGGGGCCGGGGCCGAGATCCGGTGCCGGGACGAGCACATTGATCAGCTTGAGCCGCGGCGACGCGCTGCGGAGCGAGGACATGGACCGCGCGCGGCGGTGCACGGACGCACTCCAGGGCGTGAGGTCGCGGCCGCACGACAGCCGTAGTCGTCGTCGTCGTCGCTTCTGGGGTCGAGATCCGGGAGCGGGGGCTGGACGGTGCGCTGGCAAACGGGGTGGAGCAGGAGCTATCGATGTCATCGTCGACTCTAAGATAGTCAACGCATGCATGCCTTGTACTAGTGCACTAGCTTGACAACCACTTTTTTTTTTGACAAGGAAGAGGAGTCAGTGTCGGAGGCGCAGCCGCTGGCGACGGCGGGTGCGGGAGGCGGAGACGGTGGCGGGGGCAGGAAACAGAAAGGCCCTGTTCGCTTGTCTTATAATCCGTACTTTTCAGCTTGTTTTTTTAGACAGAACAGTATTTTTCTCTCAAAATAAATCAACTGGAACAGTGTTTCGGCTTATTTTTTCAACGAAGCGAATGGGCCAAAAAAAAGAGAAAGGGAGAGAGGAAAAAGAAAGCGGTAGGGGCAAGAATGTCATTTCACCGCTGTTCTCTCTCCTCAACCGGCTGCAACCGAGTGTCTTCTGGCAAAATGCTCCAAAGTGGATGTCCGTCAGCAAAGGACCATCACTTTAGATGTCTATTAGACAATTATCTCTAATTTAAACCATAGGCTGCAGGATCCACATGTGTGGAAGTACTCCAGATATAGCATATATCTAGATACATAACAAAAAGCTATATATTAGAAAAGCTAGAATTAACTTATAGTTTGGATCGAAAAGAGTATCTTCATTCAGATGCAACAAGGTCTTGATATCTAATATTAAAGTCATGTACAATATTTATGCCTATTTTCGTAGATGCATTAGGTGAGTTGTATGTACTTATATTTATATGGCATTCCAAATTCTAGAAGAGTGACATGATACGCCTAAGCTCCTTCTCTTCAATCTTGAAACATATATTACAACTCAGCTTACAGTTGGATCACAATAGTAGGGCTGAGCTGAAAGCTTGTTCAGCTGGCTAATGATTCATTTCAAAATTACTTTGATTGCACTTGTTTTTGTTGAAAATCAAATTTAGCTGATTTTCAATAAAAATTGATTTTGACTTGGCTTGATAGGATTGGCTCGCTAACCTCAATTTAAAGTTAGGTCTTACGATAGTTCCAACCTAGATTTTTTTTCGAATATACAGTATGACTCAGACACTCACAACGCACGCACACTCACCTCTATGAACACACGCATGCAAACCCTATCTCTATGAGCATCTTCGAAGACTGGACCGACAAATCCTCGAGATCGATGAGTCACCACAAGCGCCTCGCTGTCGTCGGTAACGTCGCCTACCACTAAAAACAACGTCGTTAAATCCTAGAATATTCGCTCCCAAATGAGTCGAACTAGGACCTGAGGTGCTACTGGGACTCTCATAACCCCTAGGCTGCAGGCCCTTTCTCTCCAACCTAGATGCTATGAGATAATTTTCATATTTGCCGAGTCATATAGGCGCTACATAAAGAAATCATATTTTCAATAGATAGTTTCTTCAAAATAGATTTTTTCCAATCATGTATCTTTTCTATCCTATCGTCTATCTATCACATCTCTTCTTATATACGATTTTTTATTTATTTTCTCTCTTCTTTGATTCCAATGTCGTACCATTGTTTTGCTTAGTTGGTACCCTAATTAATAGCCATAGAAATTATCCTAGTTCCTGGATTAGCACACAAGAGACTAATAGACAGATTATATCAATTTCAAAGAAGCACTCCACTCGCAAACAAGCTTTGATTGAACGCCGGGTGGCGGATGCATGGCACTCATCCATAGAAGAAATGAACACTTTTTCAGGGCCTGCTTGGATTGAAGGATTTTCATATAGAAATTTCAAAAGAATCCAATTCTTGTGTTTTGTTTATATCACATAGTGCTTGGAACAGAGGAATATAATTTTTCTTTCCTATGGAAAGGTTTGCTTTCCTTCATGTAATGGAGGAAATAAAACATCCACTCTAAGCTCTTGAAATTTTTTCCTACATGTGAATGGAGGGATGAGCATGTCCTTGTTCACTGGAACGGAGGAATAAACATGTTTTATATTCATGTCTTCCAATCACCGATTTCTATAATTTTTTGTGTCTTTCAATCCTTTGTGTTCTATCTACACTCATTTTCTATTTCTATATTTTATTCTTTCCTTCTGTTTTGCATTCCTCCATTCTAAATATACCCTCAGTTTTCGTCCATGCACCTTCGGTGAAGCTTCGTCACTACCTTTTTATTTTGATATTTAATGAGAGAACAAGACTTACATCAAATAGTTTTGGCAGGATCCGACAACTTTTTCTTTCACGGATTCGATTCTTCAATGTCCTGTAGCATAACACATTTTCTCTATTTTGCATTCGTCCGTTCCAAATAGCCCCTCAGTTTTCCTCCGTGCATCTTCGTCGAAGCTTCGTAACTACCTTTTTATTTGATATTTAAAGAGAGAGCAAGACTATAGGATAAATAGTTTTGGCAGGATCCGGCAACTTTTTCTTCGGGATTTGGTTCTTTTGATGTCCTACAGCACAGCCTCGGATACATCAACTATTACTAAGAGCGTATTTCGTTCATGACGAGTCGACGACCCATGTTAAGTCGTCACATACAAGAGAAAATCCTTACTAGCTAATGGATTGTTTGGACCATGAGACTAAAGTTTAGTCCGTCGTTGAATGATAGGCTAAACATAAAGTAATTAATTTTTTTTATTTCTAATGAATTCTACTCATCAATTAGCCTCTCGTTAGTTTTTGTTAGATCATAATTAGTTCATACTTAAAGTCTTCTATTTGGCATCTAAAATATGGACTAAGTTTAGTTTAGTCCATGAAACACCTCCTAAGTTTGCTCCGTCCACTGATGTGATGGAAGCTTTGCTCTCGCCCGACAGCGCCTGCTTGGCTGCTTCGTGAGTAAAGGATCCAGCCTCGGTACATGTGGTAAAAAAAAGCACGAAATTGACAAGCGCTAGGTTTGTTAAATGCCAAAAATGATGTCACCATCGCATGTCGCGGAAAGAATAGTTATGTTTGAAGTTGATAGCAAGGCGTAATTCACACGTCAGCGTGAAGTGCTAATCTCCGAGCGGGTCCCATCTCTGACAGGTGAACACAAGTGCAGCTGCAACCGGCCGGGGACAACTCAGCTAGCTAGCTAGGGAACTCCTCACCCTCTTTAGCCTGCTTCCTTTGGGCTTCTTAGCTCCCTTAGTACCACCGCCTGCACCTGTTGCCTCCTCTACCCACAGCAAGCAATGGCTACTCTCGCTCTTCCGTCCGCAGAGCAGACGACCACGGGTGAGCACCGAGAGACGAAAGAGCTCCGAAAGGGGCGTCTCGTTTTGTTCGTGCTGCTTACCGCCTACTCCGGCCTGTTGATGTCCCTCTTGTGGGGCGACTCGGTGTCCGTGGCCTCCGTCGGGGTGACCTACGTCGGCGTCGGCAGGCTCTTCGGATGCTGGGAGCCGAGAACCGACGGAGGAAGACGGTGGCAGCTGGACGCCGTCCTCTGGTTCCTCTTCATGTCGCTCGGGGTCCTTCAGGTATCCAGGTTGGCGCGAACCGCGGCGTCCTCGACGTTGGCACCGATGCTTGTGGCGGCCGCGGGCGCGACTGCGCTCGGGGTCGGAGGCTGCTACGCCTACTTGCCCCTGTTCACTAGGTTAACGAGCCATGGCTGAAAATATTTTTTTTAATTTGTCGAGAGAGAAAAAAACCATTCGTTAATTAAGAAAGTACGGCTTCTAAGCCAGACCAACAGCGGCGACTTGCTTCACCGACGTACCTGGTATGTGTTGGATCTCGATTCTTGAGCTCAGGTCATGGTATTTAATTTTTAGCCATATTACTGTACTATATAGACTATCAGTGGCGATTAATGAACTCGTCAAAATTCTGACCACTGATTATTTATTTGCAGGTCGAAGCAGCAGCGCCAGGAAGCAATCTTGTTGCCGCTTAGGCAAGATCCGCGCAGTTGATTGGATATATCTCGTCTCCACTCCAATGAGATATATGTGTACTTTCTCCAGAGATAGCGGGTTGTTCAGAATGTAACAGTAACTAGGTGATCCCCCGCGTGTTGCGCGTGGGAATGCAAAATTCCAATTTCAAATGAGTTTTCTATGAAAAAATAGGCTGTAAAAGGAATCAGAACTGCATGATTTTAACGTTGTGTGTATGAATGAATACAAATGTTTGTAAACATAAACGAATCATCACCTCGTTGTTGTTCACTCAGTGGTGCGCAATCACTCATGTGATGTGCGTGGTTCATGTTGTTGGGGGGAGTCGAAGAGATGATGGCACCCGGAGCCAGATCAAATAGTCATTGAGGGAAATGAAGCGCAAGCGTTACTTCTACGTGCGTAAGGCAGCTGGGCGGATTAGGATGGACGGTAAGATGTTCGAAAATAGAGACAAATCTGACGGCTATAAAATGTTGATGATGTGGCTCAATGTGGTGCGAGCTTTATAGCAGTTATGATTGCTAGTGGCCTCCAATCCATCTATATAGATATCAAGATGCATAAATGCTCGAGGAGGGGTCGATCTTTTATGTTACTGGTGTGCTGTTTAGAAATGGTTGTACTGCGAAATGGAATGTTCAAACCTTTTCTTAACTTGTTTGTGCATTTGGAATCTATAAAGATATATACACGCGTAGATGTACGTATATTATATACGCTCATATATATGCATTTGGTTGTGCCCTGTATCGAAGAACCTGTGAGAAAAGAACACGAATAATCAGAATTATTGGTACCCAAATAGGCAAATACGACACGGATATATACAGTTTTGAGTTCTCCCTCTACAATTCGTACCCAAATGTAAAATTATCCGACGCCTCTTCCAAAAATAAACTCCTGGTTGAACCATATCTTGGTTTCGTTTCACTCTGGAACAGATTCCAGATGTCGGTGCGTTACCCTGCAAAGATGTTAAGATACACAACTATTGTCGTCTTGTTCGCTTGGGTTTGTTTGGCTTATAAGCCATATATTTTCAGCCAACGAACAGTATTTTTCTCTCACACCAAATCAGCCCACAGTACTTTCAGCTATGACTTATCTTCCATTTGAATATGATAGAATTCTAATTTACTCTAGTTGAAATTATAGAGCCGAATGTCGTACAGTCGATATTATTGTCCCAAATGATATTCCTGTCAACAGTAAAACATCGGGCATAATTCGTAAAGGAGGTGAGCTATTGTCATGTGGGGCCACCATTATTACTCCCTAGATGGCGCCAGCACAGCAATATTGCAGGGATCATCGGCATGCGCCAGCAGCAGCACCATTTCAGGGATCAGCATGAAGGCAAGAGTTAAGAGAATTAAAGAGGGCAAGAATTAGTTATTTATGGAGTTTATTTCCTTTTATTTACCAGGCCAAGTAAATACAAAGGCTTAGACAGTTTTTAAGGGGCTGGGCTAAAAACGTGAGCTGAAATTACAAGAAAGATAAGGCCGAGCTAATAAAGAAAGCTGATGCTTTTGACCAAAAAAAAGCGGAGGTGTAGCCTTTAAATAGTGTAGAAAACGACCTTAAAATTTAGTGAAATTTTACGGTGCTCGGAGGAAACAAAAATATATGAGTCAGAAATTATTTACAAAATAAATTTAAAGGGTAGAATAGTACTTACCACCCGTTTATCTTCCTGTACGAGCTCTGTCTCCTTCATGTCACTGCGGCGGACTGCCAGGTGCACGGTGTCCATCATCGACCTAAACGTAAACGGCTTGGGTCCCTCCGCTGCCACCACCAGGCGGGGACCTCTGCCTCCGGCCATGTCCACCATCACGATGCCACTAGCAGTGACGCCGTAGAAGTGGCCAGCAAAAAGCATCGTGGACATGATTAGATCTGGCCCGGTGTCGAGCAGCACCCAGCGGTCGTCGCCAGGCTGGGCAATGGCCATTGTCCCATCATCTCTGCCGTAGAAGTAGAGGAAGACCGTAGCAGGCGGGCAGCCTCGATCTGCTTACAATGCATGAGAGGAGACCCTCGGCGGTGGTCACGCAGCTTCGGATTCCGTGTGGGGCAGCTTCTCGTGTGGGGCGGGTGTTGAGGAATCGGCGACGGATTCCGTGTGGGCGGCGGCGGTCGTGAGCTTCTCGTAATCACCGAGGAGCATGATCCACTGCCGGGGTAGAGGCGCGGGTCCTACAGGACGCCGTGCGCGCGGGGTCCGTGCAGCATCGCCGGATTCACACCGCCGCGGGAGGCACACGGCTCGGAAGCAGAGGCGGGCGACGCGATTGGCGGCGAGGCGGCAACCTGGGAGGAGGCGACGCAGGGAGCAGCATACGTGGAATTGGGTCAGGGAGCTGGAAGTACTAAACTGCCCTTAATTATGATTAATTATTTTTCTTAATTAACACCTGCGGTGAATAATTTTAACAAAGCTCTAAAAATTATTACAAACAAAGGCTGACCCTTCTCTTAACGGGAAGAGGAAGTCAAATGGTATCATAGAGCCAAGACAACTAGCTTGTTATCTATGCAATACTAAGTATTTTCAGTTGGTGGCTAATGGCAAACACCGAAAGACCCGAATTTTTTTGTCTAGATCAAGACGAAGGTGTAATTCAAGGTGATGGAAATCTAAAGAAATTCATCACTAATTATTATAAAGGTCTCTTTGGTGAGTCAGCTAGTAACCATTTTCCAATAGTGGAGTCTGCTATGCATAGCATCCGACAAGTCTCCCAGCTTGAAAATGAGGTCTTAACGGCACACTTTTCAGAAAGCAAGATCAAATAGGCTATTTTTTTTAATGTAGCATAACAAAGCGCTTGGACCAGATGGGTTCCGGCTGAGTTCTACCAAGTCTTTTGGGAAGTAATAAAAGAGGACCTTATGCCCGCTTTTGAACAGTTTCACAAGGGTACCTTACCTCTTTTTAGTCTTAATTTTGGTACAATTACGTCGTTACCAAAACAAAAAGAGGTGATACGGATGCAACAATACCGGCCCATTTGTCTACTCATTGTTAGTTTCAAATTTTTCACCAAGGTGTTGACTAACCGAATAGCCCTAGTGGCAGAAAAGGTGATCCAACCCTCCCAACCGGCTTTCATGAAAGGTAGAATTCATAATATATGTGGGTCGCTTGGTCTTCGGCAAGGAGTAGGACTCTTGTATAAGCTAATCACCTTCAGCGTGTTCGGCTCGGTTTGTCTCAGCTTGTTTTAACTTATTTTATCTTACAGAACACTATTGAATCAGTCAAAATCAGCCGGAACAAACTAGTACACAGTAGTCTTGTGTACCAGCCCAACGAGCTGCTTGTTTGTTACAGCAGCATGCAAGTCAATAATAACAATGCACTTGGAGACGCTTTCCCTCTGCTTGCATATCGTGCACACGATTTGATCGGCTTGACTAATAATTAAATAATATATATTTCCGATTGGCTTCCTTTTCTTCACGTGTACGAGCATCTCCGGTCAATGATATTTGCATAACTAATAATTAAATAACCTTCGCCTACCCAGCAATGGAGATGATTTAGCCTAACTACCAGGATCATACCTGTACGATGCAACGGAAATATAATCTGATCACCTCAGCGCTGGCCGAGCAGCAGCCACAGTCGAGATCAATAAACACCCAAGCTAATGCTCCATCCACTGCGACAAACCAGCGCACGTTACCCTGTTCGCTTGTTGGTTTCAGCCAGCCCAAACCAGCCAACCAACAGTGCTTTCCTCTCACAATAAACCAGCACCAACCAGCCCAAACCAGCCTAGAAACCAACCAGCGAACAGGCCGGTTGCCTTGTCGGTGACAAAGCCAAAGCGTAGAGTATATAGGCTTTTATGTTGGTATAGAACCTGGTACGAACCCGCTAGGATTGAATCCTGAACTTTCGATGAGAGGGCATGGGATAACTCGATTGGTGGATGGAGACGACGTTCACGGCCCGACTACAGCCTTCCAAGCTGCGCCTTAGCAACCGATACACCACCTCCACTGGCTGCCGCGATCTTGTGGAACGCGTCACCCGGCCACTAGGGCACTCGTCCTGCAATCAATCGAAGAACTAGTAAGAACAAGTATAACAAGTACTGAATTTACTAGATAAAGATGAAGGTTTTCAAAGTCAATCTCAAATAAGGTGGGGTTCCGGAGATAAGAAGTCAGGCGGCTGATCCAGCACGCGCGCTTACAAGCAAGTAGCGAGAGCTAAACTTGATCTAAACAAAACTCAACTGTTCTTGGTGGCGGCTAAGGGGTATATGAAGGTGGAAGGACGACCACTAGGGTGTTGGGGTCGTGCTCCAACCCTAGGACGCGTCCCTAATGGACTCGACTTGATACATGGCCCATTGGGCCAAACTAAGGCGACGCAGCACCTTTGGACAGAAAACCTCTCAGTAGTAATTTGGTCATTGCGGCCGTCTCAGAACAGATATGGACTTGATTCTAGATCCATATGAAAATAGACTTTATAAGGATTCCATGAAGTACTTGAACGCCCCAATCCGAGTCCGTATAAGACCGTGATGAACATCACAAGTTGGAGCTGTCTTGGAGTCTGAATCCAGCCTGCGCGAATCCTTTTCCCTTTTGGTGCTCTCCCTGGTTCCTAACCAAAACAAGAGTGCACGCGTTTCCATGGTCTAAATATGATGGACAGGAACTTAAGAGTGAACTTACTTGATGATTAAGTTAACGGGCACGGGCACGAGTAATAGGACCAGAAACTGGTACTTGTGTCGGTGTGGATGTATCGTTGGTGTTGATGTCCTCATCATCCTCCCCTTCTTGCATTTGAGTTGTCCTTGACTCAAGCTCTTCTTCTTCTCCCAAATATAGCTTCAAATCTGCAATGTTAAATGTGGGACTAACCCCAAAATATGCTGGCAGATCGAGCTTATATGCATTATCATTAATTTTCTCTAACACTTTAAACGGTCCAGCAGCCCTAGGCATCAATTTAGACTTTCTC